TGGCAGGGTTATGGAGCTTAGATCTGATCTGTTGGTTGAGTGTTCACTTTACTGTGTCGATCACTTCTTGTCATGCCGATTGACATGTAAGTAGTCCTGTTTTGTGGCTTCACCAGGTTAACACCTCATTTTTAGGGTTTTCCTAGTCCTGCTCTTGACATAGCTTCCTGCACTCTTCATTGATTGAGGGTGATCCTCTGACTTGATAATGGTAGAGTGGGGAACACTCCTGGCCATGAGTTTGCAGGTTGTGTTGGAGTATGGTTCTGCTACTGATGACCCATAATGCCTCATGGATGCCCAATCCTGAGTTACTAGGTCTGTTCAAAGTCTTCCATTTTACATGCGACAGTGCTGCACCATACAAGGTATATTCCCAGTGTGAAGGTGAGACTTCACCTCCACAAGGACTGCATGGTAGTCATGCTTACCAATACTGTCATGGACAGATTTACCTGCAACAGACATATTGGTGAGGATAACGTCAAAAATGTTGTTCCTTGTTATTGGTTCCCTCATCACCTGCCACAGGCTCAATATTGCAGCACCGTTCATTAGTAATCAGCCAGCTTGATCAGCAGTGCTGCTGCCAAACCACTCTTGGGGGTGGACATGCAAATACTCCATCCAGCATACATTCTGGGCCCTTGCCACCCTCAGGGCTTCCTCCAAATGGCATTCAACACGAAGGAGTACTAATTTATTAGTCGAGAGGGTGGTACATGGTAATCAGCAGGTGGTTTTCTTAACCGGATGTCACGAGACTTAATGGGATCTGGAGTCGATGTTGAGGACTCCAGGGCAACTCCCTCCTGCCTGTATCCTACTGTGCGACCACCTCAGCTGGGTCTGTCCTGCCAATGAGACAGGACACACCCTGCAATAGTAATGGAGGAATTTGGAACATTGTCTGCAAGGTATGATTCCATGAGTATGAATATGTCGGGCTCTTGCTTTATTAGTCTGAGAGGTATCTCTCCTAATTTTCACATTGCTCCCAGTGTCTTGGTCAACACCAGATGATCCGTCTAGTTTCATTTCTTTCTTGAGATTTTCTGGCAATTGTTAAAACTGAGTAGCTTGCTGGGTCATTTCGTAAGGTAGTTCATAGTTAACCACATTGTTGTGGGTCTGGAGTCATGTAGACTAGACCAACTAAGGACACCAGGTTCTTTCATCAAGGACATTACTGAACGACAGATTTTTTCCATCATTAATGATTTCATGGTCATTAGACTTTTAATACCAGATTTTTCATTAATTTCAAATTCTACAACCTGCTGTGATAGGATTCAAACCTGGGTCCCCAGAATATTATCTGGACCTCTGAATGAATAGCCTAGCTATAATATCACTAGGCCATTGCCTACCAATTCAAAAACCAGAAACCCAAACACACAATACAAAACATAAAATTTTTAAAATAATACATACTACAGTTTTCATCACATGTGCAATAAATGCTGACTTTAGGGTATGGGGCAATTGGGAAGGACAAGAAAATATAAGAAGGTGGAGGGATGGCTCTGCTAATGAATTATCATATTAATGCAACAGAGAACAATGCCCAAAGTTCAGGAAACCAGGACGAAGAAGCAGGGAGCTGACCAGAGAGCAGGCTATATTAGACTTGAGCAATGACATATGTTTAATTAGTGACCTCAGTGAAGGCAACCCTAGGAGGGTGCAATCATAATTTTACGTTCACTGAAAGATCATCATTAGTGGTCAACAAAAGAATTAAATGTAGTGTCAAACTTAAGGAGAAAGGATATAATTATACAAAGATGAGTGCTAGGTCAGAAGATTGCACAGAATATTAAGAAATCAGAATAACTATAAGGATTACTAAGAAGGTAAAGTGAATGCCCTGTTGCCAAGTTTCTGACGACTCAAATAGGTAGTAACTTAAGTGTTGAGGATGGCACAGTCCGCAGAGGGATTATAGATAGTTTAAGTTAGTGGGAAAATAGTTGACAGATGAAACACAATGTGGGAAAATGTAAGGATAAGCACTTTAACAGGAAGAATAAAGGAGCTGAATATTACGTTAATTCAGAAAGACTGCAGAAAACTTCAGCAGAGGGGGATTTGGGAGTCCTCGTCTAAGATTCACAGAAAAGCTAACATCTAAGTTCAGTGGGTAATAGAAAAGACAAATGGAATGTCGACCTTTATTTCAAAGCGAACGGAATATAAAAGAGGGAATTTGTAAAATTAATCAGACTACAGCTGGAAAAGCATGAACTGTTTCAACCCCCTAAGAAGATATGCTAGCACTGGAGGTGGTCCAAAAGAAGTTTCACTAGACTGATCCTGGGTATGAAGGGTCTCTCTTATGACGGATTCAATACTTTTGATCTGTGCTCATTCAAGTTTAGAAGAATGACAGGAGACCTTGTTAAAACATACAGGGTTCTTAGGGAGCTTGACAGAGTATATGCGGAAAGGTTGTTTCCCTTTATGACAGAGTCCAGGACCAGAGGGCATTATCTCAGAGCATGACGTGGCCCCATGTGAGAGAGAGGTGAAGAGGAACTTCTTTCTGGATAGCAAATCTGTGGAATTCTTTCCCACTGACAGCCATTGAGGGTGGGTCGTTAAATATATTCGAGGCTCAGCCAAATTTTCAACTAGTAAGGGAACGAAGGGTTATTGGCAAAAGGTAGGGAAATGAAGTTAGGATTATCAAATTAACCATGATCTCAGTGAATGGAGGAGCAGACTCAAAAGGCTGAATGGCCTACTTCTTTTCCTACATTTTATGGTCTTCAGGGAAAAAGTCGAGCACAAGAGAATGAAATCTGGAAACATAAAGAAAGTAAGAATTCAAATAGATTTTTTTAAATAAAGCCAAGCAAACAGAGTGAAATTTGGTCCCACAGAAAATGAGCCTGCAGAATTAACAATGGAAAATAAGGACATGGTAGATGATTTGAACAGGCATCTTAACTGGTTTTCACAACAGAGGCTACATTCAGAGAAAACAGAAAATGGAAGGGTGGGAAGAACTCAAGAAAATGACAAATGCCAGGCACTCAGCAACTTGTTGGATCTACATATTGACAAGTTCCCAAATTCTGACGGACTTTATCCAGGAAGTGGCCGGTGAATTAAGCAAGACACCTGCAGAATAGGGGAGCTGAGGCCTCGACTCATCCGCTCTTATCAACTTTCTTTCTCTCTTTTTTCCTTCTTTTTACTTTAGCTGTCTCTTTTCTCCATTTTTCTTCACTTTCTTTAAAGCTTGGAGAGAGGCGTGTGAAGGAGGCCACCTCCGGCAGCAGTGGGAGCAACGCCAGGACAAGCCAGACGTGGCTCCGCCCTAACCCAGGATCTCCCATCAAGTGAGGATTAGGTCCTGCGCTGACTCTGCCAAGGCTCCAGGTCCACAGCTATGCCGGGGAAGTTGAAAGGGCAGAAGCATCGGCGAAAGGGACGGACGGCTGATCGGTGGCAGCGTCAGATGGAGAACAGGAGGCTTATCCTGGCCTAGTGTTGAGGTGGTTACTGGTGGCCTGGCGTGGTGGTTTCAGGCGATAGCTTCCAGCCAGTATTCCAGCAGCCTAGCATGGCAGTCTCATCCCAGCATGGTGTTCTCATCCTGGAATGGCAGTCTCATCCTAGCTGCGTCGTCACGGCATTCTATCGTTCCTTAATCGGTTTTCTCTGAGCCCAGGAGCCATTAACTGAAGATGAGCTTAATTGCCTTAATTATTTTAAAATAATATGAATTCTGTCATTTATACAGGTGCTGTGGTGTGGTGACATGAAATTTTTCACTATATTTTTCATGTAAAAGTACACATGACAATAAATATCTATTCTATTCTGGATAGTTGATGCATTGGTTCTAATTTCCCATATTTTTCTTGATTCAGGGGAGATTTCATTGGATTGGACAACAGCAAATACAACTCTTATTCAATAAAGCTGGAAGACAGAAAATAGAAAACTACATGCCACATCTGGCATAAAGCTATTAAAGACACCAAGCAGAGCACTTGGTAAAAATTTAAGGTAATCAGACAGATACAATACGGTTTTGTGAAAGGGAGGGCATGTTGAACCAATTTATTAGACTTCCTTGAAGAGTAACATGTTTTGTGAATAAAGGGGAACTAGTGGACATACTGTACTTGGATTTCCAGAAGGCATTCGTTAAGGTGTCACATCAAAGGTAATTGTGGAAAATAAAGGTGTGTAGCATGGACAGAAGAAGGGCTTGCTAAAGGAAAACACAGCAGGAATTAAAATGGATATTTTTCAGATTGGCAAGATACAACAAGTGATGCCACAAGTATTAATGCTGAAGCCTTAACCTTTCACAATTTATGCAAATGACTAGGATGAAGGGATCAAAGGTATGATTGTTAAACTTGCTATTGACAAAAAAAAGGTCGGAAAGCAAGATGTGAAGAGGACAAAGATCTTGGAAGTAGATTATAATGTGAAAAAATGTGCTAATGCCCATTTTGGCAGGAAGAATAAAAAGCACATTTTTTTTTTTTCTTTATTAATTTGCGGGACGAGTGCATCACTGCTAGGCAGCATTTATTGCCCATCCCTAATTACCCAGAGAGCAGTTAAGAGTCAACCACATTGCTGTGGGTCTGGAGTCACATGTAGGCCAGATCAGGTAAGGATGGCAGTTTCCTTCCCTAAAGGATTGATGTAGAATGGATGTTTCATCTTGTGGGAGACTCCAGAGATATAAGCCACTGTTTAAAAATAAGGGGCTACCTATTTTAAAGGAGACATGTATTTCTTTCAGATTCTTTGGAACTATTTTCCTTAAAGGGTTCTGAAACAGAGTCTTTGAATTATTTTTAAAACAGGTGGATAGCTTCCTGGTAAGCAAGCAAGTGAAGGGTTTTCAGAAGTATGTGGGAATATGGAGAAGAGACCACAATCAGATCGGCCATAATCATATTGAACAGTAGAACAGACTAGGGCCAAACAGTCTACTTCTGCTCTTATCTCATGTTCATATGTAGTACCTCTGGTTCAAAGATTGCTCCACTGTACACTGGATTTGCAGTTGTTCGTCGCTTCCTTTCTTGCCTCTTGCTTTGGATCTCTGTTTAAAATCAAAAATGTTATACAGATCATGCTTCAAGATTACTTGCGTACCAACGGTATTTTTTGTGTTTACTGCCTGACCTCCCTAACTTTCACACTAAGATTAACTATATGCACATCAGGAGACAGAGCAAAATGAGTGTCCATGTGGTGGTGGTGGGGGGGGGGGGAGAGACGGGGAGGGAGAGATTATTATCCAGAGTCTAGCTCCTCATACTGCCTATGCAGAACCTCTTTTTTTCATTTCTACCTCTGCAATAGTGCACTACAATTGGATCCTCCCTAATCCACTGCAAGTTCTTCTCCAGCCCAGAGCAAATACCTGAAAACTGACAGCACAGCAGCCTGGAGATAGCAAGAAATGCAGATGCTGGAGTCAGAGTCAATACAGTATACAGCTGGAGGAACACAGCACGTCAGGCAGCAACAGAAAAGCAGGAAAGGTGACGTTTCAGGTTTACACCCTTCATCCTGATTCTCTGATGCTGCCTGACCTGTGTTTCTCCAGCTCCATACTGTAACATAGCCACCTGGACTCTTGCTCTTTGCTGCAGTGAACAGTGTAAATCTCCCTGACCACACTGTCTCTTACTACCATTACATTTTGACTTTTTGGCTCCCTGTGCCACAGTGCCATGATCATTTCACTCATCCATTTCATAGTCCTCACTCTTATCCAAACAAACTGAGAAAATTTCAAACTCATTGGACAATTGCTATCACTGACACTCCTTGCAATGCTGTCCTCTGAGACCCCTCATCTGGAGTCACACCCCATCCTGTTCCTGACCTCTGACCATGTCAGAAAACCTAAGAAGCGTGACTGCTTCCAGGAATAATGAATCCAGGTAACATTAGGGCTTCCAGGCTCAGAGGGGAACATGCAGGGGGTGGTGTTCCCATGTACCTGCTGCACTTGTCCTTCAGGTGGTGGAGGCTATGGTTTGTAAGGTGCTGTTGAAGGAGCTCTGCAGAATTACTGCAGTGCATTTTGTAGATGGTACATGCTACTGCCTTTGTTTTATTTACTCATGGCTCTACCATTCAAAAAGAGCTTTGGGTCAGCATTTATTGCCTGCTTTTAGATGCCCTTGTGAAGCTGGTGGTTAGCTGCCTTCTTGAACTCCTGCAGTGCATTTGCTTTCAGTAGACCTGCATGCCCTATGGGAGGGAGAACCACCATGTTGACCTAATGACAGTGAAGAAACAACATTTTATTTCCATTCAGAATGGCGAGTGGCCTGGAAAGGAACGTATTGGTGGTGACTCTCCCATGTATCTCCTGCTGTTATCCTTCTAGATGGAAATGTTTCCACGTTTGGAAGGCTAATAAGGAGCATTGATTAATTCCTGTCATGTTATAGATGGTACACACAACTACTACTACGACGACGACGACGACTACTACTGAGCGCCAGTGGCGGAGGGAGTGAATGCTTATGGATGTGGTGCCGATCATGCAGGCTGCTTTGTCCTGGATGGCATCAAGCTTCTTGAGTGTTATTAGATCTGCATTCATTCAGGCAAGCAGGGAGTATTCCATCACACTCCTGACTTGTACCTTGTAGATAGTGGACAGGCTTTGGGGAGACAGGTGAGGAGTCCTTCATTACAGCATTGCTCGCCTCTGATTTGGCTCTGGTAACCTCTGTATTTATAGCGAGTCCAATTCAGTTTCTAATCAACAGTAACCCCCAGGATGCTCATAATGAATAATTCATTGATGGTAACACTGCTGAATGTCAAGGGGCGGTGGTTAGATTGTCTGTTATTGGAGATGATCACTGTCTGATATTTGTATGGCACGAATGTTACTTACCACTTTTCATCCAAAGACTGGATATTTTCCAGGTTTTGTTGCATGTGGACATAGCCTGCTTATGGATCATCCACTCAGCACTTCTGGCTGAAGATTGTTGTGAATGCTTCAGCCATACGTTTTGCAGTGATGTGCTGGGCTCTCCAATCATTGAGCATGGGGATATTTGTGGAACCTCTGCCTAAAGTGATTTGTTTCATTGTCCACTACTATTTACAATTGCATGTAGGACTGCAGAGCTAAGATTTGATCTTTTGGTTGTAGAATCACTTAGCTCTGTCTATCACTTGCTACTTGGCTCATGAATAGTTCTGTTTTATAGCTTCACCAGGTTGGCACCTCATTTTTAGGTATGCCTGGTGCTGCTCCTGACATGCCCTCCTGCACTCTTCATTGAATTAAGGTTGATCCCCTGGCTTGATGGCAATGGTAGAATGGGGATATGGTAGGCTATAAGTTTGAATCTTATGCTGGAATACAATTCTGCTGCTGGTGATGGCCCATGGCGCCTCATGGATGCCCAGTCTTGAGTTGCTAGATATGTTTGAATTCTGGCACATGGTGGCAGAGTGGTTAGCACTGCTGCTTCCCAGCACTTGGGTGACTGTGTTGAGTTTGCACATTCTCTGCGTGGGTTTCTTCCAGGTGCTGCAGTTTCCCACAGTCCAAATATGTGCAGGTTAGGTGGATTGGCTATGGTGAAAATTGTCCGTAGTGTGCAGGAATGTGTAGGCTTGGTGGATTGACCATGGTAAATATGAGGTTACGGGATATGGTAGGGGTCTGGGTGGGATGTCTTCAGAGGGTTAGTGAGACTCGATGGGCTGAATAGCCTCCTTCTGCACTATACAGTTTCTATGAAACATGGTGATAGAGCCACACAACAGGATATAAAGGCAGAACTTGGTCTCCACAAGGACTGTCTGATGATCACTCTTACTGGTACGGTTATGGTCAGATGCATCTGCGGCAGGCAGACTGGTGAAGAAGAGGTCAAGTATTATTTTTCCCTTCTTGCTGGTTCTCTCATTAGCTGCCACAGACTTAGCAGAAATATTCCTTAGGACCCAACCAGCTCAATGAGTAATGCTGCTGCCAAGCTATTCTTGGTGGTGGACATTTAAATTTCCACACCCAGAGTACATCCTGCGTCCCGGCACCCTCAGCACTTTCTTTCAAGCATTGTTCAACATGGAGCGGCATGAAGTTATCCACCAAGTGAAGACGATATATGGCAAACAGCAGAAGGTTTCCTTGCCTGACCTGATGCCATGAGACATAATGGTATTTGGAGTCAATGTTGAATATTCCCAAGGCAATCCCCTCCTGATAGTATTCCATGGTGCCACCATCTCTGCTGGGCGTGTTCTGGTTAGACATATCCAATGATGGTGATGGTTATGGTTATGTCTGGGACACTTAGGTATGACTCCATAACTATACAATGCTGTTGTTTGACTAATTCGTCAGACAGCTCTCCCAGTTTTGGCATTATCACGCAGTTGTTGGTAAGGAAAACTTTGAAAGGTCGGCAGAGCTGTGTGTCAATCGGACAGAGTGAATACTTAAGGTGTTAGATGGGGTAGTTCTTGCTCTTTTTTGAGTTTTGCTCGAGCTACACAAATCCAGGCAAGGGGAGATTATTCGCCTGCACTCCTCATATTTACCTTGTAGGTGGGGGACTGGCTTTGGCAAGTCAGGTGGGGTAAGCTACATAATTGCCGATCTCTGTCCCATTATCATAGCCACACTATTTATACGGTTGGTCCAGTTTAGTTTCTGCCAATGGTAACCTCCAGGATATTGACAGTGGGTGATTCAGTGATGGTGACGCCATTGAATGCCAGTGGGCAAATTTTCTGTTGTTAGAGATGGTTGTCTCCTGGCACTTGTGGGCATGGAGGTTATTTACCACTTGCCAGCCCAGATCTGAATATTTTCCAGGTCTTTCTACATTTGGACACAGACTGCTTCAGCGTCTGAGTGGTCACCAATGGTGCTGAATATTTTGCAATCATCAGCAAACATTCCCTTTAATGAAGGTCATTGATGAAGCTGCTGAAAAGCAGGTTGAGAAACTCCTGCAGAGATGTTCTGTGGCTAAGGTGATTAACCTCCAACAAATAAAACCATTCATCTTCATGGTACATGTGATTCCATCCAGCATTGAATATTCTTCTTGATGCCATACTCAGGTAATTGCTGCCTTGAGGTCAAGGGCAGTTATCCTCATTTTCTAGAGTTCAGCTCCTTTGCCCGTGAATGAAACAAACCTGCAAAAGAGACCAGTTGCAGCGTGGGTCCAGCACAACACATGCTAAGCATCACTGAGTCGGTTACTATTGAGCAAATGCCACTTGATGTCACCTTTCATGACATCTTCCGTCCCCTTTCTGATAACTGAATGAATGATGACGGGGAATGGATGACCTGGATTAAATATTTCCTGCTATTGGATGACTTGGACATTTCAGCATTGTAACTGTACCGGAGGAGCACAGCTAGCTCATGAGCACATCTTCGGTACGAGTGCTAAAACGTTATCAGTGCCCACAGCCTCTGCAGCATCCTGTGTTGATGTGTTCCGAATAAAATTGTCTGAAGACTGGCACCTGTGATACTGGGGACCTCAGGGAGGATGAGATGGATCATTCACTTGAAGCTTCTGGTTGAAAACGCTTGCAGATACTTCGGCCTTATATTTAGCACTGACGAGCTGGGAATCATAAATTATGCTATTTGTGGTGCCTCCTCCTCCAGGAAGCTGTTCAGTTGTCCACTACTATTCACAATGATGTGGTAGGATGGTAGAGCTTAGATTTGTTCCATTGATTGTAGAATGACTCAGCTGTTTATTGCATGCTGCTCACACTGACTGACTGTGTTGTGATGACGTTATCAGTCATACCCATTGGCAGCACACCAAGTACAACAGAAGAATGCCTGCAATAAACTGAACTTCTAGAATGCTAATACCAGATTAGCCCAATTTGTGGATGCTGGTCATATGGCCAGGCCAACAGAGTGTATAGGCCACACTCGCCCAAAATTAGAGGCAAGCCCGCAGTGATGGCTACAAATAGCTTTATGCACGTTCAAAAATGCACCAAGACACATTTTTAACATAGATGAAACTAGACAGTTTTACCATCTGTTACCAGGTTGCCATTTAATGTTTCAAGATGAAATGTGTAATGGTGAAAAGGGATGTAAGGAACAGGTCTCTGCTGCTATGGTCTGTGCCAACATGGATGGCACTAAAAAAAATTGCTGCTCCATGTAACAGAAAAATCCAAGAAACCATACAGATTTGTAAATGTTAAGATACTATTCATACAGTACAAATCTAACAAATTCGCTTGGATGACCTGCACAATTTGAGGTTTAGATCAGGAAATTGGAAAGACTGCATCAAATGAAAAAAGGAAAATTGTCATCTTGAAAAACCTTGAAGAGTCTAATGAATGACCACCCACCTGTTTCTCTGGCTGAAGCTGCAAACCCCACAAAAATACTGAAATTTCACAGTACAACACAAAAACACAAAACAGGTCTGACTGCATTGATGACATGAGAACTCATCCAAAGACAGCTACTAAGATTAAATAGATTACTGAGAAGTCATTAATTAAGGATTATAAAGAAATATTACTTATCTCAGAGCTAACTCACAGCATTTTCAATGCATTTTACTGCACAAGGCCAGACCATTGCAAAGTGTGAACAAGTTGAAGAAGAAAAACATTTTTCACATATATACTGTGTCACTGTGTTTTCATTTCTTTAAATGTACATTGCATTTGTAGGCAAATAAAATTATGCAGTGACTTCCTTAGCTATCTCAAGGCTCTGCTTAATACAAAATTGCGGGCAGGGCACCTATGATTCAACTTATTGTGATCTTACTAAATCCAACTATCAGTTGCACATGTTCAACTTTACTTCTGGGAGTGACATGGAAAAGATATATGTAAACAAAACTGCTAAATATTAAGATACAGAAAGGGCAAAAACTAATTTCTTACCTTCGAGGTGATCATGTGTAACCAACCCCAGAGAAACCATGAAAGCAACTTTCTGTACAAAAACAAAACAAAAATGACGGTACGTAATTAAAGCAATGATAATTAATGTATACTGCTCAATAAGAAATTTCTGCCCTAATTTTCATTATTTTCTGCTGAAGGGCAGCACTATTTCTAACAATATAGATCATTCTGCCCTGTCTGCTCCTGGCTCAATTTTGAGGAGACCACTGTCTTAGCAAACTACCTTTCCACTTCAAAGTCCTTGACTTCCTATATATATTTTGATCTTTCCCAGACCACAATATTTAATTAAATCCCTCCACCAGGTTTGAGCCCCAGCTACAGAATTAAAATACTTACATGGAAGTCACAAATGACATCCATCCTTTGTGACCGTAGTAGGGGTAAACATTCCCTCCTTGTCCTATTCAACCAGTCTGCAGCCTCACATGGCTGACTACCGTCCTCCTCCTCCAATATCTCCCCACTGTAATCCAGCTGGATGGGTCTGCTTGAACTTGGTTCCATTCTTACCAGAATACCACCTGGAATGCCTTCTCTTCACACTCCCGAACCTTTAACACAATGTCTCTCAAGAATCTATCCTTAGCTCTTCCCCCATGTCTCATCTACATAGCACCAAAGGCACAAATATTATTTTTCACACATATAGAGGTAGCACCCCGCATTACTCTCCACTACCTCTCTCAACGCCTCCAAAATTAGATTGCTCATCTGACAGTACTGGATGAGCAGGAATTTTCTCCAATTAAATATTGGGAAGAACTAAGCTATTTTTTTCAACCCCCATCCAAACTCATGTCCCTAGCTACTAACTCTATCGCTCTCCACAGTAACTGACTAAGATTAAGCCAGTCTGTTTGCAACCTCAATATCACATTTGATCCAGGGATGACCTTGCCACCTTACCATCACACCACTACCTGACAGAGGATTACCACTTCAGGAATACCCCCCGACTTCATCTGTCAACAAATTGGCTGCTGAAACTCTTGATCATTCCCTTGTCACCTCTGGACAAGATTATTTCAATGTTTTCCTGGCTGATCTCATATATCCTACCTTTTATAAATTTTAAATCATCTGTAAGTCCATATCTAACTCACAAGTCCAGTTCCCCTATCACCTGTACTTGGATTATCAACTCCAGCTCCAGGTGACAACATCTTAACTTCAAAATTCTCATCCTGTTTTCAAATCTCTCCATGAATTTGCTCTCCCTACTGCCCCATAATCTCCTGGGACATCTTTGATCCTTTAATTTCAGCCTCCTAAGTATTCACAACTATAACTTGTTCATCAATGGTTGCTGCATCTTTTGTTGCCTCAGCTTCAAGGTCTGGAATTTCCTCCCTACAAATCTCTGCCTTTCTAAATTGTTTTGCTTCTTTAAAGCACTCCTCAAAACCTCAAATCTTTGGTCAATCTCCTTAATATGGGTCGGCATCATACTTTGCTTCATAAGAGTGCTACATAAAAGAGAAATAGCATTGTTGATGATGTAATTTAACAGATTTTGCCTGTAGATCTTAATTTTAAAAATTAACTAACTAGCTCAGAGTTAAGACTACATATTGGGAGAAGTGCTGTGAAATGCACATTTACATTGAAATTCATACTCAAAATGAAGTGTGTACAGTGACCTCCGTACATTTTAGTACAAACTTCTTCAGTTACTAAATCGCTACTGATGGATAATCACTAACCCTTCCACACTAAAGCTGTCCCACTATAAAAATGGCCAAAGTGCTGAAACAATGTTTCCAACAGATATGTGAAAAATATCGACAATAAATTTATTTCTAGGAGCATTTTCCATAGTACAGGATCAACATTCTCTAGTGTTCCAACTCCTACTTTATCTCCCAAATCCAATTCCTGAAAATCAAATGGTTTCTTACAACAGCATGTCAGTATTTCACGGGATGACCACCAGTTCTTCATTGGCTTCCCAACGTTCCAACTCTTAATATCTCTCAACATATCAAATGCAATTTATTGGTTGCGCCACAAAACTAACATATTCTGACTTCATACCATCAAGTGCCCAAGCAGGATCATAGAGTCAAATAGCACAAACAAGGGTGGGTGGCCCATCTTGCCTGTATAGTTTGTTTGAATGATCTATTAAGTCCCAACCCGAAATGCAGAAAGAAGGATCCCGCCCCGAAACATCAACTTTCCTGTTCCTCCGATGCTACCTGGCCTACTGTGTTCCTCCAGTTCCATTCTGTGTTATCTCTGACTCCAGCATCTACAGTTCTTGCTATCTCTATTGACTCCTCCTGTTGTTCCCCCAAAGCCCTACACAATGTTTTCTTTTCCAACTATACAATGTATCCAGGTCCCTTCATTGCTAATTCTGCTTCCACTATTCTTTCGGGCATTCTTAACAGTCCCAGTTGCTTTATACTAAGATCTCAAATGTCTCATAGGTTAACATTAACCAATAATCATTTATTTAAAAGATATTGGCAACAATTTTAAGAAACTGGGCAGTAAATAGAAACTGCTTCAACAACATTAACGTTACCTCTGGGTTCTCCTCTCTCTTGGGTTTAGGTGGAACTGGAGATGTGGGACTGCTGTCATTTGGTCTTTCTTCCCATTCCACCTGAAGTTTGATAGTCTAATGATAGAAAAATAAACTTTGAGTTACTAAATATTTCAACAATATACATTCCACAAGCATAAGCACATTCATACTTCAGATGCATGAAGTTTTGGTTCAGATCATCTAAAATGGATCTTAACTAAAATATAACAAATGAGAAAGCCAAATTTGAGGCAAATCCTATATGGGTTACCATGTTGAAAGTACAAGTCGGTATTATTTTTTCCTAAAATATTAAAATCTGATATCTTATCACAAATAACGATTGCCTGTCAAATGTGTGTTGGTATCTTTCAGTAAAAGAAATGGGCCATATTTTGCAGAGGAGGGGATAACAATTGTGAAACTGACAACTTCAGAATGTCAGATACATGCAGATTAGTGCACAAAACCTTAAGATGCTGTCTGTCCTTGGGGATTCTGACACAGGCTACTATGACCTCCCCACAGACAGAAATCACAAATTAGCAATAATTTCAAATTTCTTATTCCCTACCTGCCATTACAAATTCCTTATATGTTACAATATGTTCAATCAGATATAGCTGTTTTAAACAGCAATATGATTAATAAAATTTGATGAACAACAAACTGATCTTAATTTTAAGTTATATATTTTGGGTATCCTTTGAAGCATTTTATCAAACTATTTTAGCTTCTATTTCATCTTTTAAGTTGTTGTATGCAAAAACATTTTTAAGAAGCGTTTTTATTTTAGTATCTATTGAAGTCTTTCAATATGATTAGCTGCTTGAACAAACAGAAAACATCAGTTACTATACACAATGTTCAGTAAGGAACACTGATCCGTTGCAGTGCAACTGAATAATAATAGAGGTAAAATTCCTGCGAGAGGTCACTAGATCTCAGCAAGACTTGCTCCATCATGAATGGCAGGTTCTTTGCCACTGAATGTGAAATCTGGCCAGATTGAGCTGTCAACATTCTTGCTAGGAATCAAGAACAATTGTGACTATTTTACTATATTTGGTGTCATGGATGCAGGAAGTCATTTTTCAGAAATTAAAAAGAAGTCAAACAGTATTGTGTGATGAACCTGTAACTTTAAAAGGTTGTTTTGTCCTTTTTTTTTTTGAAGAGGGCTTGCAAGGCAGAGGTATCAAACTGGATCCTGAAAACCTATTGAGTAAACAGCTTGGGAGGCCTTGGTTTTTTTTTTAAACACCCCCTGATTTCTGGGTTTTGGTTTTTTTCAGTAACATCAGAAGACATTGGGGTCTCAAAAGTGATGCAAGTTTCATTCAATGCCCTTTGGCTGTTACACTCTCTGAATCTTCAATTTTTTTCCCCTCCTCCCCTTGGGGTTCAGGTACATAGTTTCTTGGAAGTGGCATCATAGATAGACAGGGTGGTAAAGGCAGCATTTGCCAGGCTTTCCTTCATTGGACAGAGCATAGGACTGGTCATCAATTGTGGCTGTAGAGGTCACTTTTGGAGTACTGTGTACAGTTCTGGTTGCCCTAATATAGGAAGAATGTTATTAAATTGGAAAGGTGCAGAAGAGATTTACAAAGATGTTACTGGACTAGAAGGTTTGAGTAATAACATAGGCTGGATAGGCTGGGACTTGTTTCCCCCTGGAGGGTAGGAGGTTGAGGTGTGACCTCTGAGATTTATAAAATCCTGAGGGGCATAGAAAAGGTGAATAGTAAGAGTCTTTTCCCTAGGGCAGGGGAGTCCATAAACTAGACGGTATAATTTTAAGGAGAAAGGAGAAAGGAGAAAGATTTAAAAGGGACCAAGAGGGGGTGACGTTTTCCACAGAGAGGGTGGCTGGTATATGAAATGAAGTGCCAGACTAAGTAGTAGATGCAGGTACAGTTACAACATTTGGACAGGTCCATGAATAGGAAAGGTTCAGAGGGATATTGGCCAAATGCAGGCAAGTAGGACTAATTCAGTTTGAGAAACCTGGTCAGCATGGATGAGCTGTATGACTCTGTGAGGTGGTTATGGGGGACAGTGGGATTACGGTTTTGAGATCAATGATCAGCTACGATCATATTTTTAATGGTAGAGCAGACCTGAGGGGCAAACGATCTACTCTTGCTATCTTTGATGTTTTTACGTTTATGAAAAGCCATGGCAAGTTCCTACAGTACACTCCTAAATTGTACACCTTGCAATGTCAAAGGGAATAAAAGTTTAATGCTGTGGATGGAGGTAGTAATGACGAGCAGGCTGTTTTGCACTGGCTGATATGGAGCTTCTTAAGTATTGTTGGAGCTGCACTCGTCCAGGGAGCAGGCTCTCTCATTCCTGAGTTGTGTCTTTCAGATACTGGAAAGACTTTTTCCACAGTTTACACTGACTTAGTTTTTCAAGGACATACAGTCGATTGCCAACTTGGTAACAAGGACAATCACCCTCATCTCACTGCTGGAATTCTATACCTTCTTTTCCCATGTTTGGATCAAAGTTGTAAAGGGTTAGCCCTGATAGAACCTAATTTAGGCATCAGTCAGGAACCTTTTGGTGAACAAGTACATTTTGACATCGCTTTAGTGACATCTTCTATCACTTGCTGGTGATTTTAAAGTAGACTGATGGTTTTGATTTGTCCTGCTCATTATGAACAGGACATTCCAGGGCAACTCTACACTTATCTCAAATAGATGCGAGTAGTGTAGCTGCAATGAGGAACGGTTAGTTTTGGAGAATGTTTTTAAATCGCTGTAGTTTGGATGTTGTAGGGTTTTTGCTATATTCAGTGTGCACAGAATTTTTTTTGACATCACAGATGAACTAAATTGGTTGAAGACACTTTGATTATGAGGCAGCACTCAGGAGAAAACTGAAATGGACCATTTACTTGACATTTCTGTCTTAAGATGGTTGCCAATAATTCAACCTTGTTTTTCATACTTATGTGTTGTGCACAATTACCAGAGGATGGGGTTATTCATTAAGCCTGCTGCTCCAATTAAAGTATTTACAAGCCCACCACCATGCATAACTACCTATAGCTGGATTGCAGATATTGATCTGCTTGTCGAAGCAGTGCTTTGCTCTATGTATAACACTGCTTCCATTATTTAGCACAGGTGATCCTGATTCTAGTTTTACCAGGTTGCAGATTTCAGGTGCTACTCCTGGTTTGCTCTTCTATACTTCTCATTGAACCAGGATCAGTCCCCATGTTCAATGATAATGGTTGAACAGGGACTAAGCCGGGGCACGAGGTTACGTGGACTGCAGTCAAAGATAGCTGTTTGGCTCCTGACCCATTACAGCCTGGAACCAAATATGGGCAAAGGAACTGAATAGCAAGGCTGAGGTGAGTGTGACTGACTGTGGGAGCATTTGTCTGCGTGTGGCACTTAATGTATCCAAAGAGTTGCTGGCTTCATGGACGCTCAGTTCAGTTATGAGATGCCAAGCCTGTTCTAAACCTAGCATGGTGACAGTGCCACACTACACAGTGTACAGTGTCCTCTGGGTGAAGACAGGCATTACCTCACCAAAGACAATGGGATGGCTACAGTAACAGGCAGCTGTGTTTGAGAGAGATAAATTGATGAGAAAAATGTCTTTCCCTCACGACTGTTACCATAGCAACTGCCTCTGGCCTAGTGTAGTACTTACGTCCACAGGATTTAACCAGTTTGGCCAATAATGTAAGTAATGTGGTTGGTGGCTTCTATCCAGAGTAATTTATGTGCCCTTGCTCCCTCAATGGTTCTTTCAAGTTCAACACGGAAAGAATATTGATTAACTAGCTAAGGGAGAATGCAACATTCATGAGGCTTTATTGTCGACTTTTGACCTGATGCCATGAGACTTTCGTGACATCTATAGTCAATGTTCAGGCCTCCCTGGGTTACTCCCTCTTGATTCTACAATACTTTGATGCCACAGTGCACATGTCCATTCACTTAGCATGAATGCTGATGTAGGAGTCTTGGACATTTAAAAAAAGATATGATTCTGAAGTGTCAGGTTGTTGCTTGACTAGTCTATGAGATGATGGCTCTTCCAAATTAGGCACTAATCCACATGTCAGTGAGGTGTTGGCAGGATTTACTGGGCTGGGTGTGGTTCTGGCATATCTGCTCACGAATTTCATCGAATTATTTTTGAAGGGGTGACCAAAAAGGCAGATAGTAGATGTTGTCTACATGGACTTTAGCAAGGCCTTTGACAAGGTACCACATAATAGGTTGTTGAGTTAGATTAAATCTCATGGGATCCAGGAAGAACTAGTCAATTAGGTACAAAATTAATTTGATGGTAGAAGACAGAGGGTAGTGGTAGAGGGTTGTTTTTCAAAATGGAGGCCTGTGACCAGCAATGTGCCACAGGGATCAGTGTTGGGTCCACTGTTATTTGTCATTTACATAAATAGTTTAGATTAGAACTTAGGAAGTATGGTTAGTAAGTTTGTGCATGACACCAAGATTGGTGGTATAGTGGACAGTGAAGATAGTGGTCTGGGAATGCAGTGAGATCTTGATCAACTGGGCATGTGAGGTGAGGAATGGCAGTTGGAGCTTAATTTAGATAAATGCAAGGTGTTGCATTTTGTTAAGGCAAACCAAGGCAGGACTTACACAGTCAACTGTAGGGCTCTGGGGAGTGTTATAGATCAGAGAGATCCAGGGGCACAGGTTCATAGTACCTTGAAAATGGAGTTACAGGTATACAGGGCGGTGAAGAAAGCTTTCGGCATGCTAGCTTTCGTCAGTCAGAGCACTGAGTATAGGAGATGGGATGTCTTGTTGCAGCTGTACAAGACATTGGTGAGGCCACTTTTGGAGTACTGCATGCAGTTCTGGTCGCCCTACTGTAGAAAGGATATTACTAAACTAGAAAGAGTGCAGAAAATATTTACTAGGGTACTACTTGGACTGGAAGGTTTGAGTTATAAGGAGAGGTTGGATAGACTGGAACTTTTGTCATTGGAACGTAGGAGACCGAGGGGTAACCTTATAGAGATATATAAAATTGTTAGAGACATAGACAAAGGTAGATAGCCAACAGCTTCTCCCCGTAGTGGTGCTGGTGATGGTGTTGGGGGGCAGGGGGCTGAAACTAGAGGCATAGGTTTAAGGTGAGAGGGGTGAGATACAAAAGAGTCCAGAGGGGCAATTTTTTCACACAGAGGACGGTGAGCGATCTGAAACAGCCTGCCAGAGGCAGTGTTGGAAGCAAATACAATTGTCTCATTTAAGAAACATTTAAGCAATTATATGGGTGGGATAGGTATGGAGGGATATGGATGAAACACAAACAAATGGAACTTTAAGTTGTGAAAACTGAACGGCATGGGCAAGTTGGGCCGAAGGGCCTGTTTCCATGCTGTGGACCTCTATGACTCTTTCTGCTTCCTAGATCAATTGGTGGTGTGCCTATCTTGATTCTCGCACTTCCTGTGGCATTTTGGCATGACTGAGGGGCTTGCTAAGCTACTTCAAAGGACAAGTAAAAGTCATTGCTTTGCATCTGGAGGCACACACAACAGAGAAGGATACCAGACTTTTTTCCTTATATATTATTAATGAGGCAGGTAAGTTTTATGACAATCCATTGGTTTCATGGTAAGCATTTTTTGATTCCAGATTAGCTGCTGCGACAATAGATTATTAGAGTAGCCCTCTGGATTACAGCCCCAACAATATATATATGTTGCAACAGCATGAAATTTCAAGTTTATGTCACAACTATTTCAAAACCAACACTTTTTTTTTTTACGTTTCCCCAAATATTTCTAATTGTCTAAGTTCTAACGTCATAGACAAAAATATTTAATCAATGACCATACATAGATTTGAATACACAACTGAATGCTATAAAGGTCTTGTGACACAGTGGTACTGTCCCCACCTGAGTCAAAAGATCCTGGTTCAAGTACCCACCTGCCCCAGAGGTATATCATACCGGTCCAACTATATTTATTAAAATAACTAGGTCAATGCAGCAAAGATTATTTTTACTGAGATACTAGCCTGTGCCTGTTTTGTGAATGAAAAATACAGAGGCATTAGTACCTTATTTTCCAGATTTGCTTTGCTGAGCTTCAGCTGTTGGGGGCCAACCACTTTAGGACTTGGGGTTGCTATGACAATGCTTGTCAGCTGTGCAGTTGGTAATGTTTTGGTGACAGCAGTTGGTTGTCCATTCATAATTCTAGCCTGATGTATGGAATTTGCAGCTGATGGTTGAGAAGCGGGTGTGAATTTTGTCAGCATCACAGGTCGCTGGATTAGTTGCGAAGTCGTAAACACAGGTGCGGGTGCAATAGGAATACTATTTGGCATCACTGGTTTCGGACGAACCTGAGAATTTAGGTTGCAATGAGCAATTTAGCATGTTACAAAATAAACCGGTTGTCCTCCCATACCCCAAATATCATCATTGTTTCCTGAAGCTAATGACTACCAAAGTCCTCTTGTCCAGAGCCATCCAAGTGGTAACTCTTTATTTGTGGACCAAGGCAATGACATCATATTGAGCGTCATAGCCAAGGCCTACCGCAACTCAAACCATTCCATTGCGGGGGTCATTCCTAATGCCACACTTACACTTTCTGAACACAGCAAAGGATAGTGACAGCAGAAACCACAGACAACTCTGTCCTTCTTTTACTGCAAAAATAGAGAGACCAATTAGATCACTCTTACAACAGCTTTTAATAAATGTAACTAGTTTAGTTAAGGCTGCAGTCTGAACCAGAGGTCTTTCTAGTTAAGATGGCTCAGTGCCAGACAGATGTATTTACCAACTGATCTTCACAAACTAAACAGTGACTCTTTCAAAAATTGTACTGCTTAAATTCACTACAAATAAATGTATGCAACATTCAATTATGGTTTCAGTTTCCCAAGCCTTATAACATTCTAAAATTAAAGTTCTTTACAAGAGCAGCATCTCAACATAAGAATATAATGTATACTTTATGCAGAAGATCAAGTAAAATTGGTTGAATACCTACCATGTACACAGTATTTTCAAAAATTTATATTCGTCACCTTGCCCTATTCCTCTTCTGAAGGGACTAACTCATTTGGATTATGGTTTCACATATGCCAACAGCCAAGCTGTAACTCACCAGGGGACCAAATTTCACTTGTGAACCCATGCAAACATCAGAATATCTAGCCATGTAAAGCATCATAGCTGAACTCAACATTATCATCTGGCAGCATTTTCCAGCAAGCAAATCACCTTTCATCTGGTCACTGTCCTGAAACACAACAGTCTTTCTATCTACACTGATGTTGTCAAATTTACTGAGTATATCTAGCACCTTCTGTTTCTATTTCCTACTAACAATCCACAATATTTTTTCCCCCACACTTAATAGCACACAGGAGTGAGATACTTGTCTGATATTTCCCTCCTCAGCTCATATACAAGAGATATTTCAAGTTATATTCCATACACTTCTCATGAATGGTAGCAGTATTATAAACCCTGACCATAGAGCGGAGGCAAGATCAGAACTAAGATTTAATTCTGGATTAATACCTACGTACCAATCTTTTTTGGTATAAAATTCTTAACAGAATGTTAGGTTTGGTTGTTCCTCTTCCCATATTTTCACTTGTATGTGAATAAAGATTAAAAACAAAAGAAATGGTGAATTTCTCCTAAATACCGCATTAAACACTTGGAATATGGCCCCTGGCCTAACCCGTATCGCTGAAATACAGGTATGAAACATCATAATTGGCACAGTGACATACTATAGAGTCATGTCTATTTAATGTTTCAGTCGACAACTCAGCATTAATTCTGCATTTTGAATGTGCAACCACTAATAATAGCAGCCTTTCTATAACCCTTATTTACCTGTGGTAAGAGCGTTGGGCGTTGAGTCAGTCTAGGTGGAGGAATGAACTGAGGAACCTTGATTGGTGGGGAACTTGTAGACTGCACCTGCTGATTTTGAACACATTTATCTCTTACACACTACTTTCATAGAAATCCTTCACATCAAGAATAAATCCCTGGATACATACATGCTAGTACTACCTGTGTTTGCAACCAAGATTCCAGAAAGTCAATGTGCTTTCTCTTCTGAACTGTAAAACCACAAACTTTCCAAACTATGAGCAGCATTTATTTAATAAATAGAGGAAAATACAAAGACTAATGAAAGAAATAAAAATAAGGACTTCACAATTCAATAATGTATGATTCCAATCTTTAGTCAGTGGATTATAGCCAAACTCCAGAGACCCGGTACTTCAGTCCATCAGCGAAGGCATACTGCATAGTGCAGTGCCATCTTTCAAATGATGTCTGCCTGCTCTCTCATAGTAGATCTCAATAAACTGTTCAAAGAATGACAAGAAGTTCTCCCAAGTGTCCTGATTAATATTTAATATTTGGTCACCGACAGCTTATATGATCTTTAACATAAACGACTGCTACACTTCCAGCATTACAAATGCCGAATATTATAAAGTATGTCATTGGCTGTGATGTGCTTCAAAATAGTTGAAGGTCATGAAAGGAACAGTATAAATACATGTTCTTTCATTTATAACTAAACCACAACCATGTCACGCACTATAGAATACATTCATTTGATCGAGGTGGAGTATACAATGTTCAGTGGTACAGTGGTACTCCGAACCATAACAGTTAAGGAAGGGTATGAATGCATTGGTGAGGATACAGAAAACAATTTAGTAGGACTGTTCCAGGAACAAATAATTACAGTTCAGTGGATATACCGAAGAAGCTAGGGTTAATTCTCCGCTGTTGTAAGAATAACAAGAGCAGATCTGATGAAGGTGCTTAAAATCACGATGGGCTTAGTTAAAGCAATCAAAAATACTTTGTTTCAAATCGTTAAAGGGTCGATAGCTGGAGGTAGCATGAAGAAAAGATCTTTTTGATGGTTAGGATTTGGAATGCATTACCTGATACAATGGTAGGTACAGATTCAATAGCAGCCTTCAAAAGGGAATTATGAAACATTATAGAGTTATAGAGAAAAAGCAAAATTTTAGGACAAACTGGACAAACAGCCTGAATGGTCTCTCTCTCTCTCCCGCTCTGTCGTGCAATTCTGAGATGCTTCAGTGACAAATATGAGTTTCAAAGTCGGGACTAGTAATTTTACAGTCAGCAAATGACTTCCAGCACCAACCAAGTTTTACATTTCCTTTTCATCATTTAAAAAATCTCCAATCCCATGTCAGCATTTTCTCTTTTACTTGACTTGTTAGGTATCTATACTCATTTTATTCTTCTAATTCAAATGTGTTTTACTTCTCTCTAGGTCTGTTTATGTGGGACACTTTTTAACAGAATGTTTTTTGAATAGTTTTGAAATTAAATCCTGAAATATGCAAGGCACTAAAAAAAAGTGAAGCGTTAAAAACTACAACAGTCTAGATGTTGCAGCTATAATGACTGTAACATGGAATGCATTTCTCTTCATCCTTCATTGAAATTGACTGTAACTTGCAGCATTTGACATCCACAGGTAAGTGGAGAAATTCAGAATTCATAAGGTTCTATCAGTGATTCCTCATTCTTCACACTGCTCAAGTCCTTGCAGGAATCAGAAATCACTGGCCCAGATTTTTGGGCTCAGTGGCTAAGCAAGGGCACTTGCCACTGACTCTGAAAAAAGCTGCCCACTGACAGCGATCTCTGTGGCACTGTTTTCCTCTTTTCCAAGGTTGTATTAAATATCAAGGGGATATTTTGCATGCAGAAGTTGACAGTTTCAGTGGAGCAATTATACAAAAGCAGAGTTTTGCTACAAAATTTGAGATCCCGAATTGATGTAAACACTCAAATTTTATTTTTTATTGATATAAAATCCCTTAATGTTATGCCCTGTTGAATGGGCTGTAACTCAGTTTCAAATGGTATACTAAGAAATAATTACTTCCGAATAACCGCTCTGCCCCTGAAAACTAAGTTTACATTTGTGAAATGTAAAATTTCTCCATTTCCAGTGAAAAACCTCATTACATTTTTAAAGTAGAACAAAAATCTTTATCATTCAGCTTCTGCCTTAATGCTGATCTTTATTTTGCTACATTATAACTATACAAAGTGAGTGATAAAATCCACTTGTTAAATTTGTGGTCTTTGAGAATTTATCAAGTGATTGGCATTGATGACATCCTTGTCACTGCCAGAGATCAATTCTAGTTGATGTCTGAATTAAATTCATGTTAGGAAAAGTGAAGTCCATGCCACAGATCTCACAAGGTCTTTGCGGGCAGCTTTTTCCTGAGGTTAGCAGTGAGTGCTTTGACTTCATGGGTGACGTCAAAACCTACATCATCAAATTGAATTCATGACAACTGGTGAAACTGTCAATTCACAAATAAAAGTTTCTGTTAAAATCAATTTCTGGGCATTTCCCAATGATTTGACCACAAAGGATGGGAAGAAAGTTTGTTTTGTTTCTTATTTGTTTAAGACATTAAATCACAAAATTGGAAATGATTTCACGCCCTGTGTTATGGGCAACCATATTCAAATATCAGAAAACAGATCTAGCGAATTGACTTTTTCAGAAATGGTATCTTATTTTAAAATAAATTCTTCAATTAACCTGGACAATGCACAGTTGTAAAATAACTAAGGTAAAAGAAAATATGGGACCAGAGAAATATTTTAAAGTAAGACAAACTCAAGAGTTATTAAAAATAAAGGTTTAAATCGCCAGATTGGAACGCAGTAGCCCTAGTCACACCAAGCGGGTTACAGCAACAAAAACAGAACTTACAACACCTAATCCAAAAAAGAGCTGGAAAAATAATTAACTAAGTAGAAGCAAAGCTAAAACCTACTATAAAGCAGAAGCAATGATTTTAAGAATAAGTGACTGAAAGGATGCCAACTTTTCACAGCTCATTAGTGAGAGTATATTTGTTATAATTCACACAAACGCACTGTTTGAATCAAAGCCTGGACTTATATTCAATATTCCTCTCATGTCGCAAATGTTATCGGCCTTTTTTTATAAAACATATGTATGTTATATTTCCATCCTCTTTGTAACAAAAGAAAGGATTTAAGTATTGGCTCTGAGTGGGCAGGAAGTGTCTGTACTATGATGCAGAAAGCATCATAATTATGAGACAGGCTGTATAGATCAGCAGGGTATTTGCTATTTTTGCATGGCTTCACCAGATCAAATTGATCAGACTACATGGAAGGAACAGAAAGGTGGGCAATGTTTCACTTAATAGTATTTACGCAGTTTGTTTTACACCACTTGAATTAGTTGCGAATCAGGGTTAACTTTGTCCTTTTACATTATTTGTCAAAAATTCCTTCATGTCAATGACTGTCCACGGATTACAGCAAGGCGTTGTACACTATAGTTTTGCTTCTCTTCAAAACTAAAGGCCGTGGGCAGACAAAGGGAAGAGGAAGAGAAATCCCAAGGACAATTTGATGAAACACTTTTTATAACAGCAGTCTCGAATATAATCTAGAAGTCTGTCGTTGTAAAAGGTCCTCAGTGAGCAGCAAGCTTGAACAGTTACAATTCAGGTCCAAGTAAGTTCACAGGTATAGCACAAAACTATATAACATTCTAGCAACCCAACTGAAGACAGCAGTAAAGGATGTCTTCTGTGAAAGCCAAAATTTTGGAACATGCAGGTTGGTGGTTAGGAAAAAAAGGGGATTGCTCTTTTGAGGCTGGGTTCAAGATGATTTGATAGGATAATGTTACTCATATGATCTATCATTGGCAAAAGAACCAAAAAGCAAATACATCATTGCTAAAATATAACTCATTAACCCACTGTATAAAATTAACTCTCAATAATGTATGACTGATTCTTAAGGGGTAGAGTACAACAAAGACTGAGGAAACTCATTAAAAGAAAAGATAGCATTTTGAAGTTTTTCTTACCAACTGTACAGCTGATTTTGGCATTATTCGCACAGCGTCTGTCCCTAGAGTTGTCAGTTTGTTGGTGATCTGAAGGTTGATGGGTGCGTTTTGAGACTCCGCATTAACCACTGATTTCTGAGGATTGCTTAGAGCCGTTACCATGGCAATGGTAGGTCTCGGTGTAACGGCCGAGGCAGACATGGCATGCGCTGTTTTTAGTAGAGTAAGTGGAATCTGATTTGTGGTAACAACTGAAGCGTCAGTTATTGCTTTCTGTGAATTAAAGAAAAGTACACAAAAATTGAGATTACATTTTATTTGTTACAAAAAAACAAAAGACAGACATATGGAAATATTTCAGCCTTATGTATTTACAACCTGTATTTTAAAATCAGATGTTTCAGCATTTCTTTTTGCAACGCTAAAGAAAACCTCAAGAAGAATAAACATGTTCAGCATGACAATGCTACAAAAAAATGTGAGGTCATACACAGAACAGGAGTTCTATGGGTAGCACCTGCAGAATCATTAAGGTACTCATTTTAAGAAAACATTAAATGTTCAACCTAGCCTAAATTGGCTCTATCCCAATTATTTAAATACATTAGCATAAGTTTTCGGAGTAGAAATAACAAGTACTGATGTACAATTGCTCACAAGCAATGGCATCGACCAACACATTTAGCCCACTATTTACAGTCAAAGATAAGCAGTCTCACCAATACGGAATGATGCCAACTTTTCACCTTAATGTGGCATCCAAGATAAGCCTGAAACATGATTGAGTAGGAAGTGGACTTTCAGAGAATCTTCAGACTAAGTTATTTGTTTAAACATCACTACCAAGTTTTGATGGAATACAAGAAAATAAATGTTGGTACAACTCATCTTTTTATATCAGCTATTCATCTCTATCAGTACAACTCACACTTACTAACATTACTGCAATCATTGAAGAACCATAAAAATCAGAATGCCACGAGGACATTAAGTCCTCAACTTTTGCAAGATTTGACATGGGAATTAAAGAGAGGTATAGAAGGAAACTTACCACATTATTACTTGCTAACTAGATGATCATTCAAATGTACTTCAAGAAAATCCATTATTTTGTCTTTAGACAGTTGCATCGTTCCGGTGAATGGAAGAACGTTATTTTAAAATACATGCACGTTGGAGTTACTTTGCAATATAAACAGGAACTGGAACAATGGTGATAGTCCAGGCAAGGTGAATTTTCAAATGTTCTATACAGTGATTCAGAAGGAGTCTATCGTATCTCAATTTAAGTTCAGTTATTAAGATCCTTGCTAAGATTCTGAGGATCTGCAAACTTACTTCATTTTCAACACAGAGTACTCGAATTTTGGATTAGGGTCAGAGAGTCACTGCATCGAAACAGACCCTTCGGTCCAACTTGTCTTTGTCAACCAAGTTTCCCAAACTGAACTAGTCCTGTTTACCTGCATTTGGCCCATTTCCCTATAAATCTTTCATATTCACGTACCTACCAAAACGTATTTTAAATGTTGTGACTGTACTTGTATCACCCACCTCCTCTGGCAGTTCATTCCGCATACAAGCCACCCACTATGAGAAAAATGCCTCTCGGGTCCCTTTTAAATCTTTTTTCTCTCAGCTTAAAAATATGCCCCCTAGTTTTGAACTCCCCCACCTTTGGGAAAAGACCTTTGCTATTCACCTTATCTACGCCTCTCATGATTTTATAAACCTCTATAAGGTCACCCCTTAGCGTCCATGTGAACTATGCTCCAGTGAAAAGTGTTCCAGCGTGTCCAGTTTCTCCCTTGTTACATCACAGAGAAGGATTACTACACTGCTTTTTAGAATTTGCAAAACACAGATGTGTCAAAGTATGGGTCAATGAGCTTTGCCAGAAAATAAATTAAGCATGCAAATATTGACAACAGATACAGATTAATAATCTTTTACTAATCATTGATTTCTGCGATACATTTCAAAGGATCAAATTGCAGCAGCTACATCCAGAAACATGCTTGCCAGTTAGTCCAGGATTTATGTTCGACATGCATCTTCGTACATCATTCTTTATTCAATTCCAACATAGCCTTCACTTCCTTCATCTCTCACATATTTATTCAATTTCCATTAATGCATCTATTCTAGATGTCTCAACTACTTCTTTTATTGAGTCCTATAAGAACAACCTCTCTAGAAGGCAATGACATAATAAATGAGGCAGACATTAATATTTCAATTAGTACAAATATAAACATGCTTTGCTGAACTTTGTTGATGACACTGACTTGTTTTGAACAATACTAAACTAGAATAAAAACCAAAAGAACAGAGGAAGTTTGAGAAAGAGTCACTGGACCCGAAACATTAACTCTGATTCTTTTCTTCACAGGTGATGCCAGACCTGCCGAGCTTTTCCAGCAACTTCTGTTTTTGTCCCCAATAATTAGAATGTTCATCTCCTGCTCCTGATTTACAGAAGCATGAGTCCAAATTGATCACAATTGATTGCTTAACAATTGTACAATAAACAGGAAAATGTCAAATCTCTTTCCTCAGGCTCCACCAGGCAATGGAATGCCAGATGGATCCGATGAAGAAAGGGATACAACTGTTCATTATTCAATAACAAATATACTTGGCAGGTCTATCATGGAAGGTTATCCAGTGATGGTTTAATATCTTTGTGTTCTTGCTTACCTATGTTTAAAAACTATTGTTCAACATGCAAGGGCTAAAAGGTGTAAAACCACAATTTTGATCACTGGGTTCTCAACTGCAGCCAAGTACAATACCAAGTAACTGGAATATCTAATTCATAAGAGGAGGAGAGACAGGAACTGAAATTCGCTATTTGGCCCTTCAGGTCTGCTCTGCCAGTAAACAGATCATTTCTAATCTTGATCTCACTTTCTTGCAATTGTTCCCATATCTCTCAATTGCCTTAATATCCCAGAATCTGGTAGCCTCTGTCTTGAATACACTCAAAGACTGAGCACCCACTGCTCTCCAGGATAAAGAACTCTTAAGATTCACCCTCTTTGAATGAAGTTATTTCCCCCAGGCTCCTAAAAGGCTGACCTCTTATTAAAACACTGTGATCCTGTGTTCAAGATTGTCTAGTCAAAGGAAATACTGATCTTTATTCCTCTACTGCCCATTTTATAACAAAGTTAACATGACGCTTTCCATTCTAATTGTTTGTATTGGTATGAAAACCATGCATAAAGACACAATACTAACATTTCCCAAATAAAAACCAAAAGAACTGCGGATGCTGTAAATCAGGAACAAAAACAAAGTTGCTGGAAAAGCTCTGCAGGTCTGGCAGCATCTGTGGAGAAGAAAACAGAGTTAACATTTCGGGTCTGGTGACCCTTCCTCAGAACTCACATTTCCCAATTTTTCACTATTCAAAAACCACTGTATTTCACATGTGATATTCTTAGTCATTCACACAAACTGTAGCTTTCTTCATTGCTTACCTTCCCACTTAATGTTGTAATGTCAGCAAAACTGGATGTGTTACATTCAGTCACCTCAATTAAATCATTAATATAGATTATAAACAGTTTAGGGCCAAGTAATGATTGTTGTAGTGCCCATTTACCTAGAAGCTGCCAACTTGAAAATGTCCTATTTATTCTTACTCTTTATTCACAGACTACCATCTTGTTCATCTACCCATCTTAGGTAGGATCTACAAGGCCCACTCAGAGTCCCTTTAGCTAACGCTTCAGTAGTTTAAATCACTTCTGACTTAAACATTGAGACTGGAACAGTGACAGCTTCTCCCTGGAGCTACCACACACTTGAGCTTAAATGCATCAGCTGTAAGTCACCTCTTAAGGGTTTTTCCATCCAAACACTTCTGGTCTGGGACTACACAAGTCTTCACTCCAAGGTAATCAAAATAATTATATCCATCATTCCCTACTCAGGAGCACTGCGCTATACAGATATCCTAGGACTAGGAATTCAAAGGACTGCCCCACCCAAAGTCAAAAGTGAAACTATTGGTCGCTTTCTCTCTCAGCTATGCACATTTCTTTTTAAGACTAAAACAAAACAATTGCCAAAATTCTCTAACAAATTTTTGAAAAATAACCAGAAGTCCATGAGTGGACAAAACCTATTCAATCACCAGCCAGGCTTTGAAAACGGTTTTTGGAAGTAATCTCCATGTTGACAGAAATACTTACAAGTTGATTAATAACTCTGGATACAGAGAAACCCACAGGTTACTAACTCAAAAACCAGAAACCCAAATTTTCACCAAATACATTAAAAATTACACATGTAAATCCCACCTCCAAAAACAAATGAAGATGTATCTTAAACAGGCATTCCATTATTCATGAAAATTCTTCTTACCATGAAGTCGATGACATTCCACCACTAATTGCATTGTTAACGTTAATCATACACTAAGTCACGCAGCAATAATTTTTACATGTCTCTGGCATGCATGCCCTCTATAAAGTGATCCTGATGATATTTCCTATTCCAGGTGCAAGAATATAATTTAAAAATCATAGATATTTTTCAATCAACCTGTTCAGGGATGTTATTACACGTCTCTGGAGCAGGTGGAACCGGAACTAAACTCCATTGAAATGATCGTCAAGTTTTGGTCCCAAACATATTCATAAAGTAGTATCAATGGATTATGATCCATATAAGTAAGTTTTTTTTTGCATTATTGGTGATATATTTGTCAAAATGGTGTAGAACTAGTACAAAACTCTTTTCCAATGGTGCAATATTTTTGTTGGCATGCAGTCAATTCCTTTCAGAATAACTGATAGGCTGTTCAATCCCCAACTTGTCATCTTGTAGTAGAACAGCCCAGACTGTTATCACTGGTATCAAGAGCTAGTTTGAATGGCTTTGCAAATTCAGCATAGGTAAAAATGGTGCTGTCATTAGCACTACTTTTAAATTTTCAAAAGGTGTTTAAATTTGCCTTTTTCCAACAAGTTTGTTAAGGGTGCAATGACAGTGCTGAAGTTCAGCGTGAACCCATGGAAGAAAGCACTCACGTCAAAAAGGCATAAAATTTCACAATTCACCTTAGACATGTGGAAATCCAAAACAGCCTGTACTTTTGCTTCTCCTGGTGCTACGTGGCTTACAGTCCCACAATATGGCCTAAATAAGTCATTTTAGCCTTGGCAAATTCACTCATACCCAAACATACAAACAATTGGCTTTTTATAGCTGATCAAACAGTTCAGTCAAATGGTGTAGAAGTTCTCCCAGGTTTATGTAAA